CTTTGCGAGACTGCCACGGAGGGAATTTCGGTGCTTTCTCCGCTTCTGCTTCAAACCAGAGAGCCCGGACCCCTCCTCGCCAGCACCTCCTGGCAGGGAGCGGGAGAAGTTATTCAGGACAGCTCGAAGGATTTTCCCACAGTATCACACCCCGAACGGATGCTGCAGAATCTGAAAACGACTAAACTACACCCTAATACGCCAAACTACGAGACACGGGGCCCTTCACTTCAAAATCTAAAGGAATCCGTCCTGTGCCCAGCTGTAGTCTGCGCGGCTTATCATCCAGGCGCCCCGCCGGTCGATCGCTTCAAAGATCGTGACCAGTGATTGGAAGACTTTCGCTGTGTACCTGCGTCTGGCCGCCGACATAGATGAGAGAGAGAGAGAGCGCAGGCTAATTTAGGTATGTAGCTGCATGAGTGGGTCTCATGTGAACCATGCTGCCAACGAGCCAAGCCAACACAAGATGCATGCATGCAAAGAAGCACAACGTAGTAGCAAACTTGAACCCACAATCCCAACACCCCCAAACCCTAAACCCTCAATTCCAAACCCCCGAATTCCCTAACCAATAATCCCAAATCCCCGTAACCCCCAGTGTGTTTCAACCAAGCAGCTGATGGGGCTCGATGTCCGACGGACGTTCTTAGCAAAGCCAAAACCGCGGCATGGAAGAACCGCGTGAAAACAGGGTTTAGGGTTTAGGGTTTAAGGGTTTAGGGTTTAGGGTTACTGGTGGAACCTGCAGACCTCTTCTGTTTGTACGATCTCCGGGACGCGGACTCGTCCGCTGCGATACAGGGGCTTGAGTTTGAATACTCAGCAATGCTTGCAGTCCGTGTAAACTTCAAAAACTGACATACACCAAAGCCTATTCTGATTAGAATCCTAAACACGCAAGCCTGTTCTAATTGTCAAGGCCCTTACCCTAAACCCTAAACCCAAAAACCCTAAACCCTAAACCCTGAACAATAAACTCTTAGCCCTAAACCCTAAAAGCCCTAAAAGCCTATTTGTATTGCTGGCAAAGCTCGGGAGGAGAGGGTCAGATCCAAGGCCTTTTCAGGTAGCGGCCGGATCCCTGACATGGGAAGGAGCGAGGGTTTTGGGGGTTTAGGGCTCTGGCCCTAAACCCTAAACCCTAAACCCTAAACCCTGACATGGGAAGGAGCGAGGGTTTTGGAGGTTTAGGGCTCTGGGCCGGGCCCCTTTTGTTTAGGGTTTAGGGCTTTAGGGTTTAGGGTTTAGAGGTTTAGGGTTTAGGGCTCTGGGCCCCTTATTAATATGTTTGTAATAAGGAGCCCTAACAGTAAGATAGGTAATTCTTTAGGTCTGGGGGGTTCAGGGCTTTAGGGTTTTCGGGTTTAGAGGTTTAGTCAAAGGGAACTTGTATTACACTCAAGTATTACGCTCTACATTCGGGCTCGTTCAGGGGGGAAGCATGAAATGTTGGCTGATTGGCTGACATGCATCGCTCTAGACTGCAGATTGGAGATGTCACCCCGGCTCACTGCGGGCTGGGCTGGGTAGGCTGGGCTGGGCTCTGCGAGGGCGCGGGCAGGCATTACACGCTGTTTGCAGGGGTTCTGGGAGGGGCGCTGGCTGGGGTTTCGGGTTTCGGGTTTAGGGGTCTGCTTAGGGGATTAGGGTTTAGGGGTTTCGGGCTTAGGGGCTAAGGGGTTCTGGGTTTCGGGTGTTGAGGTTTAGGGGTGAGGGTTTAGGGTTTCAACTCCCAGCCCTGCAACCCCCGCAAGCCAGACGCCACGATTTACAGTTTGGGGCTCAGGGTTCAGGGTTTAAGGTTGTAAGATGTATCTTTTGCACCAATAAAGGACCCCCCCCTTATGCTCACACACGGCCACGATTCCGACATGCAGCATATGCACATCGCGGTGCTGCGGGACCATATAAATATCATGTGAAGCATCTAGATTTGCAATCGCACCGTGTATGTCAATCTTCCAGAGCATCACACTAAGCAAAACATGTTACGACTAAATGTGAGCAGACAGCAGGAAACAAACAAACAAACAATCTTAAACGGTTAGGCTAAACCCTAAACCCCCACACCCTCAACCCTAAAGCTGCAAAACCCTGAACCCCTAAATCCACCAAACTCTAAACTAAACCCTAAACCCCTTCAAAAACTTCCACCCTAAACCTCCACAGCCCTAACCCACGTCACCAACCCTCCCCCCCTCCAAAACAAAAAAGAAACACCCCCAACCCTGAACGCCTCAAACAAAAAACAACCCTAAACCCTAAACCCTATAAACCCTAAACCTAAACCCTAAACTACCGACCTTGTAGCAGGTCGTAGGAGGCCATAGCCAGGTCGGAGTGACACGCGGCACGCAGCCGGCTGCTCATCATGGAGCCTCGCAACGTAGGGGCCACAATTACAATAGGGGTCTTGGGGGTTCCTTACTAGAATTATAGCACAATAATGTAGGGGCCTTAATAATTACAGTAGGGCTGCTCATCATGGAGCCTCGCAGCCGCTTCGCAGATCCGCAGCCGTCTTGAATTTTGGGTTTTAGGGAACCTTCAACCTTAAGCCCTCAAATCGGAGGAAGCCTCTGCGATTCTAGGGTCTCAGCTGCATCACATTTCACTAGGCTTTCAAACTGAAACTTTCCCCTAAACCCTAAACCCTAAACCCTAAACCCTACCAGCCTCTCGGGTTGAAGGTTTGGGGGTTTTCTTGGGTGAAAGCTCAAGGTTTGGGTCTTGGCATCGAAGCCTGGAGCTTCGCCTTTGGGGGAATGTGGACCCTGGCCAATGTACGGGCCTTAATAATTAGAATATGGGTTTGGGGACTCCTTATTAGGATTATGGTATAACATACCCAAACCCTATTCTAATAATTCAAGTACTTTATTAAGATACAAATCCTTGACTCTTGACAAGGATCCCTTGAGGAATAGGATTTGTTAACCAGGGTTCTGCGTGATTCTAAATAAACCCTAAACCATAAATCATCACAGATGTCTTCCGCCGCAAGGGTGCTGCACTACTTACTATGTCCATCGACTGTCCGAGAGGACCCATCGGCCTCCATACCCAAAGCACCGAAACAAACAATATATATATATATATACACACACACATGAAGATCAATGTGCATATTTAGTAATATTTACATATGCACATGTATATACCTATATATATATATACATATATAAACATATGTATATATGTATATACATGTATAGGGTCGCGGATCGAGCGCATGCAACAGCGCATTGCTGCAGGCCCCTAGAAGTGCCGAGGCACACCTGAGCCATTGTGAAGTCGCCCCGTTGGCATCGCCGAGCGCGAGCTAAGCGCTCACTTGACCGCCTCCGAGTCCACAGCGCAAGAGCGCAAGGACGCCCCCCGCCGCTGCAGTCGTTGATACGACTTGCAGCACATCATTCCAGGCCACGATACCGCGAGCTGCGGGTCATGGGAGGAGGACGTGGACGTCGAGATCGAGCATGGAAAGCGGCCGACGACGGCTACAATGGCTGGTCCTCATCGTGGCAGGATTGGCCGAACAAGGGCAAGGGCAAGAATGGCCAGTCAAGCAACAAGTGGCATGGCTCGGCCGAGAGAGAGGCAAAGAAAGCCAAGTTCCCGACCTTCGAGATGATGGATGCGGGACGTTCCGAGCCAAGCCAGCCCTCGCGAGCTTCGGAAATGATCGTCGACGATGCTCAGCCGTCGAAAGGACAATATGCTCGATGTGTGCAACGGATTGTCAACAATATGCGGCGAGCAGAAGGCAAAGCTCGCAAGCTCGAGACGGAGAAGGACGAGTTGGAGCAAAAGTGGGAGCAGTTCCAGATCGAACTGAAGCAGGCCTTTGTTACGGAACGATCGAAGTACAAGGACCGCACGGCGAAGATCCAGGAGGAGATCCTGGAGGCCAATCAGTCCCACGAGGACGCCCTCGCCGAGCTCCAGCAGGCCCTCGCCGACCCCGCGACGATTACCCGGACCAAGAACGAGAAGCCCGAGGACAAGGAGGCCATGGCCGAGCTCGAGAAGCTGCTCTGCGAAGAGGAGGACGACGCGCCGGCTGGCATTGCGGACTTGTTGCTTGGGGCCATCGCGGGAGGCACCCTGGACAAGGAGAGTCAGCGACGTCGAATCATGGAGGCCATCGAGGAGCGCAAGAACAAGGGAGCAGTGTTCCGCACACCCTCGCGAAAGCGGACTACGTATGCAGCGATGACGCCAGACACGAAGACCTCGAGCAAGGAAGGCGACCAGGCTCCGATTGTTGGTGGTGGTGGTACCTCCGAGCTCCCCAAGACGGACCCGTATTTGGCCTCACCTTCAGTGAGTGGTGGCCTACCTCTGCCATCCAGTGCCGCACGATCAAGGTCGAGGATGACACCACGAATGCCGATCAAGTGCGTGGGCCGGACCCCGAAGCGCACCACGAAGAAGGGAGGCTTGGCGGAGAAACTCGACGCTCGGAGAGCAGCGGCGGATGCTGCTGGCATCCAAGAGATCGAGGAAGAATCGGACGAGGAGCAGCTCCTGAACGACCTCGCGGCGACCAAGGCGCAGGTGGAGATCCCGACCGATGTGGAGTAGCATCGCACAGCTGTACTTCTATAAGCAGCTGGAGGTTGACTACGCTATATGAAAGGGGGCTTTTTCGGTGTGTCCCCCGCGCACATGGTGCACAGTACAGCTTTTTCGGTTCGTCTGTACAAAATTTTGGTCCGTCTACCGCATGGAGGCGGACAGATTGCCCCCCGAGCAGTCTGGCTTCGAAGCGACGTGGTAGTAAAGACTATGGACTGCCACACCCGGATGGTGACAAATGGGGAGTTGTTGCCCGGAAGCACACTGTTGCGGAGGCAAGAAAGCAGCTCCAAGAGGGAACCCAAGGAGATTTCTTTGACCTGTGGGCCTCGGAGCGAAGTGATAGCAATGGATATTGGCTATCCTAATCAGGTGGGGATAAGTGTGGACCTACTGTTCGTTACAATAGGTACACGATGGCTAGAGAGCAGCTCCAGGAGGGAACCCCAGGAGATTTCTTTGACCTGTGGTTGGACTTGAAAATAGGTATCTGGGCCATGCTGGGGCGATCAGTGGATGAATTGGGGACGTGGTTCCTGGAATGTGGTCGAGCCCTTTCTTTGGTGATCACGATGGCCCTCTCTTGCGTCATCATGGCCCACTTATACTGGAGCCGGCCGCTAGCCACACCATCCTGCAGGACAAGGACCCGACCTACATGGGCCATGTTCCTGCTTGCCTTTTCGATGTTTCAGGGGGGACAAGCCGGTGGAAGTGCAGATGACCGTCTGGGAACATGGAGGACTCCTTCGGATATAGAGCTGTGGAGATCTGGGCAGCTGACGAGGAGAGAGCAAGCTGCCAGAGCAGCGAGCGATTTTATCCGTAGCCAGCCATTGGAAAGTGGAGGCCTCTTCCTTACGACGGTGTATGAGAATGGACCGCCTACCACTTTGCCGCAGCCACCCGGAACTTTGGACATGCACGAGTTCCCCGAGGACCCTTTTGAGTTCGTCGAAGACTTGGTGCCCACGCATCACATCTCATTCTGGATCTGTGCGCCCTTCCACGAGCCGGAAAGCTTGGATGTCGCTATGTCCTTCCCGCAAACCATGAATCAGATACAAGAAATGATCCGAGATTCAATCCACGGACTGGACACTCCTTGGCTCACTGAACTCATGCCGCCGGTCCCCCAGATTTCCGGGGCTTTTGGCAGCTTCATCATGCTGCCACGATGGGCACTACAGGGTGACAAGAAGGCGGTCGTCCTCGAGAATCGACAAGGGGACCTTTGTTTTCTATATCAGCTCCCCCATCACCCGCTTTGCAGTGTTGAATCAGCTTGCCCTGGACACTACCGCACCGCTGGATGTTTATGTTGGTGGATCTTTTGCGCCCCTTCAAGAGGATGAAGGGCAGAACCCCTCCAATGGATGCCTCATCAAGGTGCTTTTGCAGGGCGAGGTTGTCGATTGGCAGGGCAGGATCGAGGACCGGTTACAGGACCCGGCCCTGTGGAACCCTGAGGAAGAACACCCGGCACATGTGGGCAACAGATTCATCGAGTTTCAAACTACTGATGAGGTGCACCTGCACTCGCTGCAGCGACAATGGGAACAAGGGCCAATGAATGTCGCGGTACAAACATTTGGCCTCAATCCAGAAGATGTATGGCTGAGGTCGCCAACGGATCGGCCAAAACGATTGTACAAGGCCGGTCACCGTGTGTATTCATTGGTGGCTGTCCTCAGCGAGAGCCGCCACCCGCAGGAGACGACATCAATAGTCTTCTTCGATTTGCAGCGCATGGGGCGCAATGGCTGGCGGTCGAGGGCGACTTGGTGCATCCAGGGGAGTACTTGGAGGGACTCCAGCTGCCCTTCTACGAGGGCTTCACTATTGTAGTCCATGGTGGCCGGAGACATGGAGACCAAGGCTACCTCAAGATCACTGACGGCGACGTCCTTGAGGTGCACCTCCAACCTGACGACGAGCTGACCCCCAGCAGCCACACCTACAGCCCCAGACACGACTCCGGAGCAGACGACAGCAATGGAGACCAATCCGATGATGGAGAGGGCCCAGCAGATCCTGATTCTGCTGCTTTCTCAGGGTCTTCCCCAAGTGGGGAGGGCCCGTTCGGGCCGCCACCACCGAACCCCATTAATCGGCCTCGCAGTCGAAGCCCACTTGGAGGCAGAGACCATCGTGGAGAGTCCGAATACGAGCACTTCACAAGGTGCTTGGACCAGTACTGCACGACATTGACGTGAACGAGGTCGCCCTCCCGCACGCGGTCGACACTGGGATGACTTTGTCTGGGACGTGGGCGCCTGAGTGGGTCGCCCCGGATCTCAGTGAATGGTCACTTCCGCAGGTTACCAAAGACCACGTCAGCAACTGGCCCCCATGGCCAAGTTTCCTATTTGGGCTGCCATATGGTGCCAAGCCTGATGTTGCTATCTTCACGGATGGATCCTGGCACGAGGCAAGTCAGACTGGTGGGTATGCGGCTCTGCTGGTTCTGAGTTGGGATGGCCAACACTCGGTGTTTGGATTGCTCGGTGAGCAAACTCATGGCAACCCTCAGAGCCTATGGCCACTTGAAGGACCACCAGCACTACGAAACGAGGAGATAGCACTGTTTGCTGCACTGTTATGGCTGGCGCAGAGCAGCAACTTCTGTCGCTTCCGTGCAGTGAGCCTACATTATGACTGCTATGGTGCCGGAAAAGTCACCAGTGGAGAATGGTCGCCGGGCAGCCCATTTGCCGATAAGCTCCGCTGCGTGCACAGATGGGTTGAGAAAATCATTGACGCCCCGGTCGACAGCGTACACGTCAAAGCCCACAAAGGACATCCTCTCAATGAGGCTGCCGACCTTTTTGCCAAGCAATTCGCGCAAGGCGGCAAAGCACGGTGGCTCCCCCCCTCCCGCGGTTGTCAATGCGGCGCTGAAGAATGATTTGTCTTGGTTGGCAACACAAGCTACAGCCAGGCTGCAGACTGTGCTACCATTCACCAAACATGGTACCCTCAGGTGGACCAGCGATCCATGGCCGGTTGCCGATCCCCTACCCAAAGAAGAGCTTGTGCCCATCAAGACCGCGAGCATTGGAAACAGTGACACGAATGCCACGAGCTTCCAGGTAAACTTTGCCACAGCCAATGTACAGGGCATTGGGTCCAAGCACAAGTACCTGGAGGAACAGTTCGACCACCATGGCACCAATCTTGTCCTGTTGCAGGAGGTTACAGGACATTCTGGCTGTTGCCAGTCCAAAAACTACCTCAGGCTGACGACTGAGAGTCTGAGGCATCGGGGAGTGTCAGTCTGGATCAGCAAACGACACGGCCTCATTGTACAGGAGGGCAAGTCTCTGCCTGCAACGGAAGCGGATGTTGAAGTCGTCTATGAGTCACCGACCCTCCTGATCCTCACGATCGACGCAGGCGGCTTCAGGATTGGGCTATTCAGTGGCCATTGCCCACATGCAGGCCGCCGAGCTGATGCCGACACCTTCCTTGAGGAGCTCCGGCAACACCTCGTCCCACTGAACACCCTCCACTTGGTGCTTGGTGGGATTGACTTGAACGGCAGGCCGCCGAAACATGTTGCCAATACTACTGGTGACCTGGAGTTTGGAGAGCCGGACTGCACCGGCATCACCGCGGCCGATGTTTTCAAAGACGCGGCATGCTGGCTACCTCAGACCTACAAGCGGTACCATGTTGGCAGCTCGGTGACCTACCGCCAGGCAGGCGATATACTACGAAAAGTGAAGAAAGCTGGTTTGGGCGGACGAAAGGGAAGGACCCCTTTTCGGCCGATGCCGATCCTGATGACTGACGAGGGACACACTGCGATCCCCCGCGAGGACAGGGATCAAGTCTGGCTACAGCACTTCGGCAAGCAGGAGTGTGGTGAAGTGTTGGAGCTGGAGTCTTTTGCGACTACGCGACCGGAGCCGCTCATTGTCGACGAAGAGCTGCTCTGGTCCATCCGACAGCTTCCGGCGGTCGGAGAAGTCGAACAAGTACTACGCCGTCTTCCTCGGAAGAAGGCAGTAGGCCTCGACGCTGTCCCTGGTGAATTGTTGTGCGCTGCCCTGGGACCGATGGCAGAAGCCCTACAACTCTTGATGGCAAAGTCGATGATGGCCCTGTGCCAGCCACTTCAGTGGCGGGGAGGCCTCCTCTTTGAGGCCTGGAAGGGCCAAGGCAGCCACAAAACACCGGAGGCGTACCGGTCGTTGTTTGTCGCCTCGACGATAGGAAAGGCGTACCACAAGGTCTTGAGACAGAAGGTACAGCAAGAGGTGGAATGCTCGCTGCATTCCTTCCACCTTGGCGATCGCAAGCTCGCCCCGGTCACCCTGCCAGCGCTCTACGTCTTGTCAAATCAACGACTGGGTCGAGAAAAAGGGTGTTCCACGTCGGCCATTTTCCTCGACACCCGTGCCGCGTACTATAGACTAGTGCGCGATTTGGCGGTTGGACCTATCTACAGCGACGAAGCGGTGACCCGCCTCTTCCGGCATTTCTCCCTGGACCAGGAGGATTTGCTCGAGATGATGAGTGTGGTGCGGGATGGTGGCATGTTGGCCGATGGCGGCATCGAAGGACCACTGCGGCACGCAGCGAAGGATGTTCACCACTTTACGTGGTTCACCACGCCACACACAACAGGGCAGCGAGTTTGCCGCACGGCTGCAGGGAGCCGCCCAGGGGAAGCGTGGGCGGCAACCATTTTCGCATTTATTTATGGGCGAGTCCTGGCCAAGATCTCAGAAATTGCCCGCGGCGAGGGGTTATTGCCGATCCACCCGGCGGACCTACAATGCGGCGTTTTTGCTGAACAAGATGAGGGGCAAACTGCGATCGGCCAAGACGCAACCTGGGCCGATGACAGCTCATGGATCTTGTGGGACTGGGACCCACTACAGCTCCTCACCAAGACCGCCCGACTTTCGTCGCTCATACTGAGCCACTGCATGAGTCACGGTATGAAACCGAACCTGGGCCGCAACAAAACTGCGGTCCTCATCAAGTTGCGCGGACCAGGCAAGGCAAAGGCTGCCAAAGCGGTTTTCAAAACAGGGCGGTCCGTTCCCCATCTGGCAGACCTCCAGCTGGATATCCCCACGACCAACCTCTACAAGCACCTTGGCGGCCTTGTTGATGACGGTGCAACCATGATGGCTGAATCAAGAAGGCGGCTCAGCATGGCGTCACAAGCGTTTGACCAGGGAAAGAGGCTGGTGTTTGCAAACTCGGCCATTCCGCTACCCACGAGGGCCATGTTGTTGCAAGTTGCTGTGACGGCGACATATCACAACATGGCGGTCTGGATCCCAGGAGGCCAAGCATGGTCTCACATCTGCGGTGGTTACTCCCGCATTGTTCGCAAGCTGCTCAGCAAGGCTCTACCTGGCGATTTGTTATTCGCCTTGCCTCCCGCCATTGCTCATGTGGTCACGTGTTGCCCACCCTTTGCTTTGGTGGCTCGGAAAGCACGGCTTAGTCTGTTGGTTTCCCTCTGCAAGGCAGGCCCGATCGAGCTGTGGGCTATGCTGCAGGCGGAACAAACTTGGTTCCATGCAGTCAGGGAGGACCTGAAGTGGCTGGTTGGTGAAGAGGTGAAGATGAGACCTGGCCATTGCTACACGGGGCGGCATGGCCGGAATGGCGAGGACTGCTGACAGCCAGGACCGGCTGGTTCAAAAGACGAGTTGCTCATCGACTACGCCAGGCCACCAACGACTATGCCAAGAATCAGGCGGCGGTGACCATCCTCTGGGTTCTACATCGGCGAGCCAGCGAGGTACTTGAACTACCGCAGCAACAGCAGCGACGTGTTTGGTGCTGCAGACCATGCCAGCGCACTTTTAAATCACGTGGTGGTCTATAGGTGCCCACTTCTTCAAAACACATGGACGACGTGCACGCTACAGATCTGTGGTCCAGGGCTCGCTTTGCCAGTCTTGTGGGCACCAGTTCTGGAGTACCAACCGGCTTGCGCGACACCTACGCGATGCTCCATGGTGTGTCGCCACCCTCCGTGCCATGGGACATTACGCACCGTGTGTCGCTCCGGGATTTGGGAGCAAGCAGTGGCGAAAGACGGCTGTCGAGCAGTACAACCCAGCGATCCCGGAGGCCCAACAGCCGGCGATTGAGTTTGTTGCTGCAGATGATTGGGACGAGGTACAGAAAGCGGCGCACATAGAGCTTTGTGATGCCCTACTTTGCCCTGACATCCCTAACAATGCCGAGGACCTCGCCGGCATGATCCGCGGGGTTACTGACAGGTTCCCACTCTATGACGACGAGATCAAGGACCTGCTGGAGTTCACCTTGCATGAGATCCGAGAAGTCGGGCCGGAACTTGGGGAAGAAGGCTGGAGCGGTTGCCAACGTGAATTGGCAGAGACTGTCTTCAGTGACCTCCTGGGACAAGTTTGGGAGCCTGTCGGCGACATCAACCAGGACAACCACGTCGACGTCACGTTTGAGGCGCTCTCTATAAGGACGTCGACGCAGTGAGTTGGCCTGAGATATGGACACGTAGCAGAAGGCCGCACGTGACCCCGTCGAGTATTTCTTTTGAGCTGTCTTCCAACTGGGAAGCGGAGATGTTGGACAGTTTCCGGATGCTCGATGCTCCAGCCGTGCGCGCCAGACTGTGGCCAGTTGTCCCAAGGACTCTAAGGCAGGTCTGGGATGATATCCTTCGAGGGGGCACCCCACGACTTGTGGCACCCGAGTCCTTTTGGAGTCACGTTGCAGCGAAGCCTTTTGGGCAGCTCCGTGCTCCCAGTTTGCACCCTTAATTCAGCTGCGTACCAACCACTGAAAGCCGGCAAAGCAAAAAATATACATGTATATATATATATATATATATATATAGGAAGTCTGGCTTCGGCCGGATTGGCTCTTGTTGGGTTCAGGGTTATGCTTCATAGCATCCAGAAGACAATACTTTCATCAACTAAGAAGCAAGACAATTCGGAGAACAATAGCAACAGTGGTAACACGAAGTACTACTGACTGACACCCTAAACCCTAAACCCTAAACCTAAACCTCGACTCCTTAATAGAAGGACCCTTGAAATAAGCGCTGAACAGCTGCCTTGGAATTGACACGAAACTCTCAGCGCTTGCCCTGGGATTGCAGACACCTGACCGGCTGGGCTGAAGCGGAGCCACGGTTTAGGGCTTCAGGGTTCAGGTCTCAGGGTTTAGGGTCAGGGGTTTAGGGGTTTAGGGTTTAGGGTTTCAGGGTTTAGGGTTTTAGGGCTGGGGGGCTCAAAGGGGGCTCGGGTGTTTACGGTTAAGAGTTTTTAGAGCCCAGGGCGCCAGCATGGAATCATTTCTCGTGTTTTTTTCTGAGACCCTGTAAACACGGCGCCCCCTTTTTAAAAATACACCCCATAATCCCTAAGCCCGATAACCCCCATGATTTGAAATTCCAGCAATTCAGAACCCTGGAGCCCTAATCGTTGAAGAAGAGTGCGGGTCTGTGACACGGGGCAGGTGCGTTCCTGCATAGATGTTCCAAGCAAGTCGCAGTCTCTATAGGAATTTTGGAAGTTTGAGAATGCCTATTTAGGGGTCCTTGCATTCAAAAACGTGTATTTACGTAATTCATTGGGGTGCTCTGTTTTTGAGCAAACTCTCATATAGGGCTGAAGGGATGATGCGGCTTCAGAGCCGACACTATGGCGCCACACGCTACGTGTGCACCTTGATTGGGGCTTGAGAAAGCAGGCAGCTGGGCCAGATTCCAGGTTCTAAAGACTCCAGACCCTGAAACGCAAGACTATCCTAAGCATCCCGCAGAATTTATGGGTTTAGGGTTTAAGGCTTAATGTAGGGGCTTTAATGAGTAGAATATGGTTTTGGGGTATATTGTACTAGAGTTATCATAAGGAACCCC